GGCTGCTGTGGCCATTTTATTTTCAGTGACCTCTGATGCTTGGCTTTCTGCTGTGCTGTTGTGATAGGCACAGGGCTGATATTAAAAATATTTGACAACGGCGATGCAGGGCCACTGACCAAGGACAAAAGACCCCAGCTTCCCACAGCTGCTATGACTGAACCAGTGTAGAAGGTCTGCCGGCTATCCCAAATGCAGAAGAAGGAAACAAACAAACAAAAAAAGCCAACAAAACAAAACAAAAACTTGGAGTTTTTGTTTATTCTAGGAAAAAAATCCTAGGTACGAAGCCCTTTTTTTTGGGAGGGGAGTCTTCCATATCCTTCTTCCATATCCTTTTAGTGATACTGCTGGGGAAACCATCATTTCCCACAAAAATAAATGGTAAATAGACATTCCCGTTCTCTAAAGCAATACCTAAATTCACAGAAGAGGATTAATATACTGTATATATGAAGAACTCTCACAATTCTATGCAGAATCAAAAACCCAACTAACAGAGAAATACAAAGAGGTCATTCAGACACATACCGAGAAATACAATAAATATAAGAAAAAATTGTTTTACTTTACTAATGAGCAAATAAAATGCGATTTAAAAAATACCTCTATTTCACTTGGTTAACACCTGTTAAGTGGCTACCATGTGTCAGATATGGTGCTAAGCAATTTTATTTTATTTAATGCAAATAAAAGTCCTGGGAGGACTTTTAGTGTAATGGACTTTTATTATAATGTCTATCTCATAGGCAAGGAATCTGAGGTTCAAGGAGGGTAATATGCCTGAGGTGACATAGTTAATAAGTAGTGTTAAGCAAAATGCCATTTTGCCGTTTGAGATTTACAAAGATTAAATGATAGGTATCAAAATGAAAAATATTCATCCCTTTGACCCAGCACTTTCACCTCCAAAATTTATCCCAGGGTGATAATTGCGTAAGTGCACAAAGGACTTTTATAAGGACATTTAGTGCCGTATTATTAATAACAGCAAAAAACTGGGAACAACGTAAATGTTCTTCAACAGAGGGTTGGCCAAAAATGTAAAGACCTGTCCATATACTATAAACCCAAGCAGCTCTTAACAAGAATGAGATAGACCAATATGATTTGGCTTAGAACATTGTGGCTTAACTATATTGTTTGGTGGGAGAAAAAAAAAACAACAACTCAGGTTACAAAAAAGCCTATAGATTATGACTTTATTTTCATCAGAAGAATTCTGTTAAGCAGAGAGAAATGTTTGTCTGTGTTTGCTGTGGTTGTGCCTGTGAAGGGGTTAGATGACAGCAGAGCCCATCAGGGTATACTTGCGTATTACCTGACTGTTCTTTTTGGTTTAACTATTTGAAGCAGAAAAAGGAGAAAAACCAACAACTATCCTCACGTGCCTAAACGGACAAACCCGAACAAAAGCTGTCTTGAGAAAGTTGTGAGCAGGGGCTTGGGGTGGAGCAGTCCCTTTAGCGTTCACTCAATACCCCCGTTTTCCGCCAGGGGTCCGACCTCTTTTGCGGTTAGGCTGGGGCCCATGACTCATTCTTGCCACTGGGTTCTGCGAGGAAGGGCTAAGGCCTTTAGGGATCGTCATTCCTCCTTTATCGCTTTCTCGGCCCTGTGCAGAGGCTGCCTGCAACGTGTTCCGTCCCGCAGGAGCCGCGAGATGGAGTCCCAGGGGCTGGATGTCAGTGGGCAGTCAACTTCTGTGGTCTTTCGACCCTGCGGTTTGGGGGTTCGCTCGTCTCTGCAGCCTGCGCTGTTTGCTCTAACGTGCGTTGCCGTTATGACCGGCTGACTTTAGAATGATCACTCTCTGAACATCAGTATTTCTCTGGTCACTGGAGACAGTAATGGCGCCGGTCACCCAGGGTTGCTGGAGCACTAAGTGGGAAAGTGCGCACTGTTAGGCTCTGGTGGTTACTTTTACACGTGCTGGCTATTACTTTTGTTTTTGCTGGTGTTTCCCCAAACGGGGCAGCACCCGGGTCAGGGCAAGGTCACTAGTGATAGCAGGGCCAACCCAAGGAGATACTGTGGCACACATTAAGAGAAGTTGTGGAATCTCGACATGTCAGTGAAGACAACTGAAGATACAGACCCAACTCTCTGGCTAGTGACATGCCAACTCCTTGTCAGGGGAAGCCTGGTTGTTGGAATGAGATTAAGTTAAAACAGAGATACCCTAGTTATCATTAGCTGCATCTCCATAAAAATGCCTACTAAATTTCCATCGTGATGTAATAGGTTATGCTAATATAATTATCTTCCTGGGTGGCTCAGTCCATTAAGCGGTTAAGTGACTGCCTTCAGCTCAGGTCAGGTCAGGATCCTAGGGTTCTGGGATCTAGCCCTGTGTGAAGCTCCCTACTCAGTGGGGAGTTTGCTTCTCCCTCTCCCTCTGACTGCCACTTCCCCTGCTTGGGCTCTCTTTCTCTCTGTCTCCGTCAAATAAAGAAATGAAATCTTAAAAAAAAATTATTCTCCTGACATCTCGATTTAAGTGGCCGTGGAAGGTGCTAATATTACTGATTGTTTGACCCTTTCAACCATTTGATCATCTTGGGGTGGGGGCTCTGGGGATGCTCACCTTCTACCCAATCAGGGCTGAGGCAGGATGAAGCATGAGGGCAGGTGTGGGCCCCTGTGCAGGATTGGTGGTGGAGCTGGTGTGGGGGGTTATATATAAATACTGCATTTGATAAATTTGGGTAACATGGAAATGCTGTTCTCCCTCCACTTCCCTTCCTTCCTTCATTTCCTTTCCTTTTAAAAAAGTAGCACATTTGCGTTTAGCACAAGTACAACAGATGTCTTACTAAAACTTCTTTGAGTGCCATGATTGTATGGTTTTTAAAAAATCAAATCAAATCAATTCTTGAGAGAACAAATTGTCTAAGTTACTCCCAGTCAGTGGCGGCTACAACATTTCTATAAGGAGTGGATTAACAATGGTAACTTGGTAGCCAGAGTGTGTTGGAAGCTGAGTTTTCATAGCACTATATGGGATTGAGAAAATGTCAACTTTCTAAATAAAAAAGGAGAGGGGATCTTTTTCTGGGGAGGGGAGGTTAAGTCGCCCAGCTGCACCTGATGTGGCCACTGCCTTCAGGCACTATTTTACCCAGTAGGTTCTTTCAACAATCGTTTAATGAGCATCTACTACTGTGTTTCCGATACAGAGATGATACACAGACTCTGTTCCAGAGAGCATCACAGCCCAGGAAAGACTGACGGTGAGCGGTACAACCCTGGGTCCTCTAACTACTCAAAAATCAGTGCCAGGTTGTTAGGGGTTCCCGTTTCTGCTCCCGCTAAAATCGTGATGCATACAGGAATCGGCCGGTGCCAACTCACTGAGCGATGCTGAAAAGCGTCCGCCCACTTTTAGGGTGGTTGTAGACTGAAAACAAGTGGGACCCCCACCGTTTCACCGCTCGGGGTCTGCTGCTTGGACAGGGTCCCCTTCCATAGGCTCGCCCGTCTCTGGGCAGCTCGCGGAGCCAGGCCGTCTCCTCTCTGGGTCGGTCAGAACCGGGTCAGTCTGTCTCGGGTGCAACCATTCTCATCGTGTAAAATGATGAACTCTCGACCCGCTCTTTTCATCTGACAACATAAAAATTGCTGCCGTCCCTCGGTCCGGATCAGAATCAAGGCCTCCACCCTCCAAGTGCGCGCCCCAGTCGGCCTCGCCCAGACATTCACTTCCCAGTCGCCGGCATTCGGGGGCGCGGCTGGGGCCACCGCGCCGGGACCGCGCTGTTCGCGGACAGCCCCTCTCTGGGAGGGTGAAGCTGCGTTCGCGGCGCGAGGGCCCGCCTAGGACAGACACGCCAGGGTCCTCCCAGGCTGCTGGGAGAACCCACGGGGGGACGGCAGGAGCGTCCCGCAGCGAGCGCGGCGCGGGGCGGAGGAGGGCGCCAGGGCCCTTGAATGTGGGTGTCGGTCCCCCTGGATCCCTCGCGAAGCGAGAGGTGAGGACCCGGCTCGAGGGGCTCCGGGCGGTGCCTGAGCGAGCAGGGACCGCACCACCGCCCCCTCCCGCCTCGCCACCGCCCGCCTCCCCGTGTGGCCGCTTCTGATCCCGCCCCAGACAAAGGCAGCCTGAGCTCCCGCAGCACGAATGAGGGGATCGGGTTGCTCTCCCGGCCTCCCCTCCCGGCGCCCTCCCTGATCTCCCCTTCCCCACGTGACTCTGTGGAATCTTTGCCAAAGCTCCGAGGCTCTGGGTCCATTTTCACGGCGAGCGGAGGAGCGGGGAAGGAGGCGCGGGAGGCCGGGGAGGCGGAGCCTGTGCGCTTTAAACGCGGGGAGCCGGCGGGGCCTGGTTGCGTGCGCACCGGGCTCTCCCCGAGCGGCTTGGAGTTCGCGATCCTTCCAGCCTCTCCGGACCCTTCCTCCGCGCATTTACGTTTTCGGCTCCGCCTGCTCCCGCGATCCCCGCTCAGCCCTGCGGCCCGGCTCCGGGGACGCGTGCGGCGGCGGCGGGGAGCCGGCGGGGAGCCAGCCGGGAGCCCGCCGCGCCCCCGCAGCCCTCCTCGCCGGGAGCGGGCGGAGGCGAGAAAGTGGCAGCAGCGCCCCCCGCGCCGGTTCTCGCGGCGGAGGCTCGCGGGCAGCCCGAGGCGGCGCCGCCGAGTCCGGGAGCTGCCGCGGCGCCGCGCAAAGTTTCCCTCGAGCGGCCGCGGGCGCTGCCACGGGGTGGGCGGGTCGTCGGGGCCCCTGGCGACCCTCTTAGCCGACGCGGCGCCGACGGGGTGTCACGCGAACTTTGAAAAGCCGCTCCCGACCGACCTGCGCGGCGTCTCCGCGGCGGCACCCGGGAGCCCGGAGGTCCGGTCTGAGCGCGGGGAGGTCGGGTCGGCGGCGACGGGAACTTTCGGGAGAGTCCGCCGCGGAGACCGCGCTTGGCCGCCTCTTCGGTGCCCCCGAGCTCAGCCCACATCGGGGACCTGCTTCTCCGGGGAGCCGCGCGCCCTCCGCTGCGCGTGGACCGAATCCCCCGCCCGGCGCCCCGGAGCTGCCGGAGAGTGTCCCCCCGGCCGGGCCGGCGCTGCGTTTCCCCGGAGGCAGCCGCCCGCGCGCCGCCGCTCCGAGCGCGCCGGAGCCCGCGTTCCCGGCGACAGCGGCTTCGTGGATGCTGAAGGCTGCGCCCCAGCGGCGCGGGAGGCGCAGCGGCAATGGGTGCCTTCGAAGTGTGGCTCGGGGTGGCCCTCGCACTGGCGGGATTTGCAGCATTGCCTCAGCATTCCGAAGGTGAGAGCGCGATGCCCCCTCCCCGCCACCGTGCGCGCGCGTGTGTGTGTGCGAGCGAGAGAGATCGTGATTCTGTTAAAAAAGCCAAGCGGGTTTACGGTACTGTGGGGTCGGGGGGAAGTTTTTTGGGGGTTGGGGTCGGGGTGGGTGGGTGGGAGTGCAGCGTGGAGTGGCTCTTTCTGCGGCTCCTGCTCCTGATTGTTTTGCATTCGGTCACAAGCTGGTCCCTCCCGCCCCCCTCCGGCCCTGAGTGCATTGGGGTGGGTGGGGGGTCAGTGGCGGCGGCGTCCCCGAGATTGGATTCTCTTTTCCCCACTTCCCGCTGCACCCAGCGGAAAGCAACTACGTGAAGCGTCGGCGAGGAGCGAACGGTGGCTCTTACCTGAGTAAAAATACCCCCGCTCCTGGGAAACGTAAAATCCGGCGCCTTAAAACCCTCGCCACGCTCCCTTCCTCCTCGCCCCAGTAAGTGTCCCTGTAAAGTCCAGTAACGATTGTGTGACCAGGTGGCTGGAGTGCGCTCTGGACGTAGACCTGCCTGGAGAGGCGCCTCTCCACGACGGAGAGGCACGAGCCCGCCTGCTTCCTTAGGGGGGAAAAAAAGTGATTAATAGGAGTTTAGCTTCGTTCTCTTACTTCGCCCTACTCCCGGTTTTCCTCCAGGGCTCCAGCCTGCGTGTAAAACCCCGAGCTGGGGGAGAGAAAGGAGTCGGAGGGAACTGTCGCCATGATCGCAAAAGCAGTCTGGGTTGGGACAAATGAATCAATGAGTAAACTAAGAGTTTGGGGCGGGGGGGGGGGGTGGTCAGGGGATGGCGGGCCCCGGCAAGCGCGGCGCTGTGAGCCTCCACCTGCTCCTAGGAGTCGGCCAAGTCCTTTAGCGAGTGCTTGGAGAGGGGGAAGGGAGCCGGCGGGCCGGGAGGAAGAGGGCTGAATCCACCGCGCGGGGCCCTCGGCTTCCCCTCCCGACTCCATTCATTATTCATGCAGCTGCGGGCCGAGGGGTTCACCTGCTCCGCCGCAAATCAGAGCCGCGGCCGAGGTGGGGCGGGGCGCGGCGCCTTCTCCCTGCTGCGGGGTGGGCGCGGCTTGAAGGTGCAGAGCCGGGGCGCCGGGCTGGGGGCGGCGGGAGGCCAGGCAGAGGACAAAGCCCTGCCTTGGGTCGACCTCCAGCCTTCAGAGCAGCTGCCTTTTCCGTGCTGGTTTCCCTGGAGAAAGCGGCCTGGCCTCGGAAGTCCGCGCAGAGTGCGGGGGACTTTGCGGTGGGTAAAGGTTCCGCCTGCCCGCACTCTCCCGGGAGGTGTGTCAAGTTCGTTCCCCAGGAGAAGCACGTCTGGGGCCTGTGCAGCCTTCTCCAAAGGGGTCCTGACCTGTAGAAGTATGTCTGTATTGTATGTGTGCCTGTGCGTGCATACTGGAAAAAATAAAACTTACAGGGCTTAATTATAATGATACATCAGATGGGAGAGTTAACTCAGGCCACCTGACTCTGATTTTGAGACTTAGAAACATGTTTTCGCTTGGTGGTGGCAGTTTCTTATTTAGAATCATCCCAGCAACGCAGAAAACGTGCTTTCTCTCCCAGAGAGCTCAGCAGGGGGGCAACTGAAATGATGCAGTTTTTCAGAACCAAATCTCTTGAAATCACAGAATCCATTATTATTAAGAACCTGCAGGGTTCGCTCTTTGGAAGACTGGTTGGTACAATGGGCAAAGTTAAAGAACTTGCAAATTCTTTTGGTAGGAGAGGAGGGCAGGACACCAGGGGCGCTATTCCTCCAAAGATTCTTTGGAAACTTTGCTGCTTATGGTTTCATCCCACCTTCAGGGCATTCTAGAATCATTTCACAAATTGAACTGAGAGATGTCTGAGAGTTTCCATCCAACTTGGAATGGTCCTTGTCTAGTAATGAGTGAATGAATGTGGACATTTATTGAGCACATGTTATTTGGTTCCTACTATGCCAAGCACTTTACATGCATTATCTCATTTAATTTAATAAATTAAATTAAATTAAATTAAATTAATTAAATTTAATTTAATTAATTTAATTAAGTGATATCAGGCACATAGCCAAAAAAAATCAGCTGTCATCTGATGAGAACTTTGATTTGGTTCTGTCAAGATTTTCTTTTTCTCTTCAAAATAAGGGCACTGAAGTCAAGGCTGGAAAGCTGAAGGATCTTACAGATTTCCTCAAGCTTTTTTTTAATTAGTCTTGGCAATGATTTTTAAAACTGGAAAAGAAGCATTTACATGTGTGCTTCTCATAGTGTGACATACACTTTGATACTTTTGCTCACCAAGCCATGGCAGAATTTGTGTTTTCTTCTTAGTGCTCAGAGAGCATCTCATACATCCTTCTAGAACACCAGTAAAGAATTCTACAATTACATGGATAACGGTGCAGTTTGCGTCTTCCTCAGGTAGCTGTGTGCTCACTGAGGGCATAGGATGGCTCTTAATTATTCTTATTTATCTCCGCATCACCTGTGAGTATACACTAGGTGTTCAGAAAATACTCGTCATGTGAATGAGCATTGCCTAATCAGTCTTTTGAATTAAGCTTACACTGGCCTCGATGACAAACTGCCGTATGACCTTGAATGAACCACCTAACTTCTCTGGCCTGTGGTTCTGTCATTTGCCAAATGTAGAAGTCGGCTGGCGAGGCAATAGCTGTAAGATGCTTTTGCTAATCATCCAGCACAGGGAAAACAGATCAACATTTACTGCCCAATCTGTGGTCTGTTGCAACTTTCTGGCTCTGAATTTTATGTCAGTTATTAAAAGAAAAATGAATTTTTACAAGCAAATCATTGGCAGTGTTCTTTTATACTGTCTTACACTGCCGAGATGACAATCCGCTATGATCTGACAACTTAATGAAATCAAGAAGCACAGGGAAACTTCTAGCAAAGGTGACTGGTTTCTAAATCAGACCAGCTTTGCCATGACATTTTCTGGAGAAGCAGTTTCTGAATTGTGTTCACCTGTGGAAATCCTGTGAAGTCACACTAGGTAGAACATGGGCCTTGGAGATAGGAAAAGATTATTGAACTGGACGTTGAGAGAATTGAGTTCTAGTCTGTGTCCTGTAACTCTTCATGTGGCTTAGTCAATCCCACAGTCTTCCAGACTTTTCCTAGAAATGAATGCCAATAACCGAATACGTTGGGAAAGATCATTTGGTAGACAGTGTGTTTTATTTATGGGTGGATCTGCATATTTGGTTCTACTCTCGGCTGGAGAGTTCCTTCTGTGTAAGATTTAATCTTGAAAAACCAAGGTGAGTAAAGAGAAGACATTGGCTGGCGAAAATAGCCTCTCTCTTCATTCTTCCATTCCACAAGTCTTTATTGAGCGCTTATGTGTGTGGTTATGTCTGGTAGGGGGACCACATACTACCTGCCCTGAAGAAGTTTGCACACCCAGTAACTGTTAATATCAGTAAAGTAGAAGTAGGGGTATGTAAACACTGGTCCTTGGTGGGTTTCCCAATATTGAACACTTGCACTTTTGGCTTTTGTAACTACCTGCTAGTGAAAATGAAGAGGTGTATTGTCCATTTCTGTTCTCCTCTCGGGATTAGCTCCTGCATACATTGTTCAGTGACACCAGAGCCATCTGTATTCACGGTTATGGGCTCAAGTGGCAATATCCCTCAATTTCACTCAGACACAAGTAGTCCTAAGTACCCTCCAGCACATGGCTCAGGAGAAGGGAGGAGAACACCACATGGCGAAGTCGCGGTTGTGTGCCAAATCTTACAATAGTTCAGAATCACTTGGCCCGTTTTCATTGTAACTACTCTGTTAATTGATCTGAATCCTGGTTTACAATAATCTGGACAGGAGCTGTCCTGTCCATCCAGAAAACGATTCTATTTTAACTGTTCCATGGTGTAGACGCCATATGCTGAATTAGAACACAACATAAAGCGTGAACATTTAAATGCTAACTCGTGGCTGTTTGTTCACGATGAGTCATACTTATGTTATACCGTGCTCTCTGAATCTCTCTGTATCTTTGGCCATATATCCCACTCCACCTGATGTTTTGAGGCTCTTGGATTTAACTTTTCTAATTGACTCCTTTTACCAGGTATGATTTCTGTAGTGAAGAGTTTCTGGAAGTGAGAACTCGTGCAAATTAGAGTTCACATTTTCTCTGAAAACTTGAGATTTCATCCAAATATCTCATAAAGGAGCATGTGAGAATGTGAAAAGGAGCTTTAAAATAAACACTTACTTAGTTCAATGAATAGGAAGTAACCTTTGGCCCATGTGACCCGCAAGACTGCGGTTGGCCACACGCAGGAAGAGCTGAGGATCCCGGCTTCCTTCTCCCCGCTGGATGGGATCACTTGATCCCTGCAAAACTTTCCGTGTTTTTTTCACAGAGAGCTGGAATTTAAATTACGTAGTATCTCAGTTGTATTCTGCGCCTTAAAACCGGCGAAGTTCTTGGGTTAGAGGCTTCTAGCTTCTGTTGTCTCTTATTTTTCCAGTTTTCTCTTGAAGAAGCCCGCTTTCTCTTCCCGGACCCTCACCATCTGTCAGAACTCCCCTTGAGCTGGAGTTTCCTTGAAAGCGCAAATAAAGGCATCAATCTCAGCCTCTCCTAGAACTGCCCTCCTTTAGAAAAAAAGCAATGAGTGGGGAGAGGAACTTTGTTTCCACGTTATGGGAGTGGATCACTTGGAGAAAAGGCCTCTGCTCTGGTGCAGGCCCAGAAGCCGCACCCAGCCCCCCTGCCAATGACCTCCTAGCAGTGTGTGCCAGTGGGCGTGGGGCGTGTGCTGCTGCGGGAGAAATATGCTCGCTTTGGAGGACGGCAGCTGGCACTGGGGGGAGATGAATGTGTGATGGCCCTGGGCATCACACTGGAATGCTCTGTTTTCTCGAGGGAGTAAAAGCGAGGTTTTGGAAGCCGTGCGAGTGGAGACATTCATGCAGCTGCCTTCCGGGGAGAGCTGTTCCGTTTTAGGAAAGCCCACAGAAGGCAAAGCTTATTTCTCTTGGAATTGTACATCCTAGAGCGACACAGATTGAGTTATTTCCTTCTCCTAATGATGGGATCTCTCCACAGTTGCACACCGTTTTGACTGGAGTCTCTTGCAGAGGCTTGGCCCAGCCGAGTGTGGTACCACACTCGATGTTGCTTGTTATCATGTTCCTGTGGGTTTGTAACATCTGTCCCACTTCCCTGGAATGCGTTTTGATGTGGGTAGTTGGATATTTCTTAAGCGACTTCATTCCTTTTGGAGCTTTGAAAAGTTAATTGGCTTTTGGAAGGCAGTGCTAGGTAGGGGGCCAGTAAAATGATTTGAGGATGGTCTTATTCTAAAGGTTGAATTTTGTTTGTTTATTCTAGAGTTTCAGCTTTGTTAAATTGTACTTCAGTGATGCTCTTTATGTTTATTTTTTAAACGTCAGAAAGAATTAAATATGTCCATTTAAGTAATGTAGAAATTGAATTTTGTCGATATATATCAATTTGATCTTTATAGGACTATTTTATGTATATACATATATAATGAATATTGTATACATTTATATATACATACATATTTCTCTTATGACATACCATAGACTGGAATACTAAGTATTTCTCAAAGAGACATGTGTGAATGAAGAGAAATTTTCTCCTAAGGTTTTATCTCAAGTTATTCTTGTTGAATGTCAAGGGCACAAAAGTCATTCTAATAAATTTGCTCATAGAGATCTTTGATTCAGATCACAAGTGTAAATAGTCATCTCATTTCTTTGAAGATTGTTCCAGATTCCATTATTGGTGGATGAGGCAGACCGGTCCCTTCCCAAGAAGTTATTATTTTTAAGACTTCACGAATGATCTGTTGGAAGCGAAGCACTATAGTAAAATGTGTCCTTCCGTCTTTGGACACCAAGTGTGGCCTGTTGTCAGGATGTGTTTCTGCTGCGGTGTGTGTATGCTATTCCAATCTGTTTTGTAGGTTCAGTTTGAGAGAGTAGCTGCTAGCACACTACCCACATGTTTCTAGGTAAAAGCAAAACAAACCAAAAAAAAAACAAAAAAAAAAAAAAACCACACACACAAAAAAACAAAAAAAAAAAAAACAAACCTGTTGTGCTGTTCAAAGATTGGTTGAGAATGAATTTGTTTTTTAAAATTAAGATTGCAATTTTACATTGTTTTCAGATATAACACTTGGAAAGATTTATTTTATGATTCAGAAAATATAGGCTGTTCCATTCACATTTAACCTTCTTTTCCATTTCTAAGAAATTTCTGCTGTTTTTTATTTGATGCTTACTGAATGGAAAATGTAAAGATGTATCAATTCATAACCAGTCTATTAGAAAGAAATATTGAGTGAAAAGAAGGTGAAAAGGGTATTGGAGTTCAAGAGCCCAAGAGAAGAGTTCTTTCCAAGTAACTACAGTCTGCATGTCTCTCTGTTAAATGTAACATCCCTAATGAGGAATATATTGTGTGAAAGGCGAGAAATAGGTAATTACCCCGATACCTAAGCAGCTGCCTACTAGGCGAAGAGTTAGGGAAGCCAAAGGAGGAGAAGCAGTCCCTCTGCCAAGAGTCTGTGTAGATGCGGCAGTGGGGTAGAAGCAACAGTTTCACAGGCTTAGCAACAGTGTTGCAAGGAAGTTTACAAGAATGAATGGATGATGTAGGCAAGGAGTGCTATGAAGGCAAAGGGGAAAGAGCATAATGCTGTGGGGCTGGAAAAGTTCATGAAGGAGATGGGATCAAATTTAAGGAACTTGAATAGACCCAGTGTGTCTCCAGAAAAAAAAAAAAAAAATAAGCAAAGGGATGGAGATATGAAAGTCTGACCACCAGATCCCAAGTTGGCCTCTTGGGTCGGAATGGAGGATTTGTGTAAACAAAGAGTGGCAGAGAAGCCGGGATAAATAAATCAGAACTAGATGAGGCCTTGCTGATTTATCACATAGAAAAATACACATTGCACACACAGCATGCCATTATAAATACATTTATTTTAAAATTCAAATAGTAAGTTTTAATGATGCTTTCCCTCGTGCGTGTCCAAGAAGTGTTGTGTGTTGTATGGGGTTATTTCCCGAAGGGGCAGAATGTTCGAGTTTTCAGATTTTGGAAAAAGCACAATTTGCAGACTGATGCATGTAGATGGAGTTTTAGCCCAAGTCTGCTGGGGCAGTGCCTGCTGGTCTATTTTGCATTCCTTTTAATTCTTGTTTTGTTTTTCCCTACAGGTGCTTGTGTCTATCAGGGTTCCTTGTTGGCGGTAGGTCATCCTTCCTATATTTGCTTTATTTCTTTCAAATGTAAAATGCTGGATTGGGGTTGCTGAGTGAGTGAGGTGACCCTATCATTGTAAAAATGTGTTTATTTTTCCTTCACAGTTTGAGGATTATCCCTCATTTTGGCACAATCATGCTCAATTACTTAATACCTTTTCCAGAGTGAATTAGTTCCATTTGAATACTCAGGTATTGGAGAAGAAGCTCAAACACCCAACACAATTTGCATTTCATGGCTTTGTGTTCTTTGGATCAGAAAGAAAATTAGATCCCATTCTCCTGTCAGATATGAACTGGGGCACAACTTTGTTTATCTTCCCGTTGCATTTGCTTCTTTCTTTGAGCCCCCCCCCCACCAGCAAAAGTACAGATATTAAATGGAGTACAATATGGAGGATTCCTGACTGTGGCTTTGAATTATGACTTTAAGTTTTTGTAAATAACCAGCAACTTAACATTTTATCTCTGAACTTTTGCCATTTAGGGTAGAGTTGATTTTGAATTTAATGTCCTCATGACTTGGGGGAAAAGCTGATGCAAGCCTCATGCGTTTCTTTTCATTAATAATGTACTGTGGTGCATAGCAGTGTGTTAGAGCCTTATTGAAAGGACGGTCTACACTTCATCAACTCTAATAAATGGTGTGGCAAGTCATTCTTCACCACTTTTTTATTTTGGTTTTATAAATGCTATACGAAAAACAGGACTGAAATGGTTGGGGAGGGTTTGGCCATTTACATCACAGCCTGCTACTGACGTGTGTGAATTAACAAGTCATCTTGGATTATCCTTGGGATCGTCAGATAGAGGAGAAGTATCTGAACTATCCTACAGTCTGGATAATTGTAGAAGTTCACAGTAATATTCTTGATTCTGAACTTTATGTACTATAGCTCCCGCTCTGGAGATTTATGGTTTTTTTTTCTCTCATAATTTTCCATTAAAGAATCAGGAGAAGGCCATTTTCCTTTACTTTCTCACTCCATGCCCTTCAAAGCCTACTTTTCCTTGTGTTTCTTTAATACGTTTTCGGAATCATTTAAAAATCAAAGTGTTATAAAATCACCAGTTTTCGGGAACTGTAGTAGATGTTATAGTCAAGTCAGCTATCCATGTGAATACAAGGAGAATGGCTTACTGTATACAGTGCCTCATGATTTTTAAATATATTTTCGTAGCTATTCATCTAGCTGACACAGTAGATGAGTGGAATAAGCAGACCACGTATTATTTTATACTCTCCCCCTTTTAATGCAGAACCAGGATGAGAGAGATTTTAAGGGATTTGCTAAAGGTAAATCAACCATTAAGGGATAGAGCACAACAAGCCAACCTGTTTTCTTTCCATTGTTCCCCCCGTATCTGAAGGAAAGTGGCCAGCCAGCCTGTTTTCTATATTTGATGTTGCTCTGCGTTATTGTGCACTTGAACACAAAAGCATCAAGGACTCGGAGAGGGCAACGACATCCAGTTCAAGGAGAGACTGTGTGGTCAGTTTGCACTTAATAGGTGACCTTTGCTGTCCTTGGTTCCATGTCCTGGCTCCTTCCGGGGCTATGGCTGCTGGGGGCTTGTAGGCTGTGCGATAGTGCCCCAGGGCACTCCTCATGCCCACCAGTTGACTTCTTTGCTTACCAAGACTCAGCCGTGTGTGTTCCCAAACCTCCTCAAGCCCAATGTACTTACTATTGTAATTCTGCAATTCAGTCAGAAAGACAATACATTTATTACAAGAACAAAGGTTATTGAGTAACAGCTGTGGAATTCTAGGCACTGGGAATGCACCAGTGAACAGACAGACAAAATCCTTGCCCTCATGAAGCTTGAATTCTAATGAGCAAAATATAGAGAATGTCAGGCGGGCCCTAGGGAGGAAAACAATGGGGGTGGGGTGGGGAGATGGGGGACGCCAACTAGAGGAGGAGAGGGGCTCCTGCAAATAGGGTGATAGGGACGGCCTCCCCGAGAAGGTGACATTTGAGCAAAGACCTGAAAGTGGCCATTCTCAGCGCTAGTCAGCCTGGATGTCCAGGGAAATAGAATTCCACAGAAGGGGAAGAGCAACGGTAAAGCCCAAAGCGGGAGCTCGCCTGGCCGTTTGAAGAGGTTCACAGAGGTCCGTCAGCGGCTGCGGTCAAGATGCAGGGGCAGGATGAGGTCAGAGAGGTGGGCAGGAGCCCTGTATGCACTTGAGCTTGTCCTCTCAGGAAGGTGTATCGCCCCTGGAGGAGCTGCCGCAGAGGGATGACAAAATCTGACTTATAGTTTAATTAAACTGCCGAAATGTGAATGTGAAAAGAAATAACGTTCTTGTTTCTAAGGAAACTATGGTGAATACTTTAAAAAGACTCCGCAGAGGTGAGTCACTAAAAATTTGCTGTCAAATTAAGTGTAAGAGAAACAACTATAAAAGATTGGGGAAAACACGGACATCCAGGGAGATTCTGCAATTGGATTTATTTGCAACCGTTTTAAGTTGTTTTTTTTTTTTTCCATTTTAAGGAACTTCAAACTGGAAATCGTAGATGATACATTGTGGACGTAGTTAATTGTGTGTGTAATTAATTGCTGTTCTCTCTCCATCTGATCTGGTCTTAGAGAAAGGCATCGAATGAAATTGAATGAATGTATGTTTTTGTATTTTGGGAATTAAAATAGAGAATTTAAGAACATTTAGACACTATTCTGCAATTTTCTGATTAAACAACCCTTTAGGTGAGAGGGTTTCTGTGGGGGTAAGAGGCTTCATGGGGGGTGGGGTGGGGGATTGGCTCTGAGGGTGGTGGTGGGATGTCCCTGTTCTAAACCCAAATTCTACCCACACACAGTTCAGAGCTGGATGTGACTTCTGAGATCACGTAGTCCAAATTCTCCATATCCTAGGTGAGAAAGCTGGGGCAAGGGATGTGAAGTTCTTGAATTTAATCCATTTCTCAGGCGAGTAACCAGAAGCAGAGAGTGGGTCCATTTGGAAATAGCAAAGCCTCAGCTTTACCCAGAAGAATCCCATAAAATCTATGTAGCACATGAGGACATGGATCTGGGTCCTGGCTGCTCGCTGCTAACTCTCAGCCCGTCTTGTGAGGATTCTCCCCCTGATGCTTCTCCGGTCTCATCCCTCGCTGCCTGGGAGGCTGTCAGGTGCGGTGGAGCATTCGTGATGCTTGCCACCGGCAGACCGAGTTTGGATTCTTCCTCCTCCACTGCCGACCGGCTCCGTGACCTAGAGCCAGTTACATGAACTTAGACGTCCTGTGTGAGAGGGGGATAAATAAAGCCTCTCCTGAGGGGCTTTTGTAGAGCAAAGCAGATAATGTGGGGGGGGGACACCCAGGTGCCATGCCTGGCATGGGCTTTTCCACCACAGCAAAATCTCTTTACCAACCAAGAAGAACGACAGGAGGAAGGGAGCCGTTATTAAGCACCTACTATGTCGACAGTCCCAACAAGTAGGTGTTGTCTTTACAGATAAGGAAACTGAGGCTCTTGTCACTTGTCTAAAAATTATACAGGTGGTCAGTGCGAGAAGGGGAGAGCGTTCAAACCCGGTTCTCTCAGCCAAGCCGGTCTGCCTGTTGTCTCTGAACACAACTGGCCTATTTCACCTTCACCTCTACATGCCCGCCCCCTCCGTGCTGCACCTGCCATGCAGCTGTCTCTGCCAGTCTCTGTCCTGACCTCCTGCAAAAGCCAGCTGTCCCTAGCTAACCCCTGCCCGTGTAGCTAAGGCTCTCCTACCCTGGTGTGTACTAGATCTATCGCATGATACAGGAAATATTTGGAGGCGGTTGTTCCATCTTAAAAATCTGTATATGCTGTATTTTGCACACACACACACACACACACACACACACCCAACAATGTGTTGTGTCTACCAACTTTGACAGCTGTGTGGACTTGTGATTTGGTCCTAAGCCCTGTGTAGCCATCTCTCAGTTATGTACTGATTCCGCGGTCTCTCTTCTCTTTAACACTGTCTTCCCTACTTTCCTCTTTTTTCCATTCCTCAGGCCAAAAATTAACAGAAGGGAGTCAGAATACCCAGGAAGGTCCTATACCTTAAGAGACACTGAAAAATCTAGTTTGGGTTATGTTTCTTAGCCCCCAGTACCCTTATGCCCCTGCACTCTCAGGACTTTCTCTAAAGTCAGCCCTGGTGAAAGCGAGAGCATGACCATGTTCAATCAAGAGTCTACAAGGAGGAAACAACCTAGTTCGTATGTCTAACTGTGACAGGGCCTTGAGTGTGAGGAGAAAAATAAATTTTTCATTTCAATATTTTCACTATATTGAATAAAAAGAATTTAACTTTCTTTTGGCATCACCACAAGTAAATCTCCTTTATTAGGTTTTTCCCTAGAGGTAGATCGCTGGACTCTTAACCTCAGTTTTTACATCTGTAGAATGGAGATGAACTATTTACTTCCCAAGGTTGTTGTAAAAGCTAGAGGAGATCACATGAAGCACTTAGCTCTGTGCTTGTGACCTACAACATGCAGCAAAGGTTAAGTGCTGTTATCGTTGCTATAAGCGTTTGTGATTGGAAGAGTTGCACAAAGCTATTCCTTTTCCGTAGATCAAAAATGTTAAGTGTTGACATTTTCCAACTTGGAATGCTTTTGCTCACAAATGCTGACAAAGTAAATTATGAGACACTAAATTTTAACACATTTGAAAGAAAGAAAATAAATTCAGGGATTATTAAAAATGTGGAGTGTTTGCTTCACTACTATACCATATGGCACAATAGAAAGATCTAGGCTTTGGAGTTTGAATCCTGATACTGCCACATACCTGCTGTGTGGCCTCAAGTATGATATTTTATATAGCTGAGTCTAATTTCATCTTCTATATAATGAGGATTATAATTCTCACAGGGTTGATGGGAGGATTAACGGAGAGCATGCTTGCGAAAGAACCCAGACCTGCAGTTGGCAAGAAACTGGCACTCACATCATCTAGGTGACAAAAAATGTCAGAGTGG